GACCCGCTGGGGGGGGGGGGGGGGGGGAGAAAACAACATTTTGGGAGCAGAAACCACCCCCACAGACACGACAGTGGTGAAGGTCGCACCCAAAGGTGAAGTGGGTTTAGGGTAAATAATAGAGCATTTGCTAATCACATGCAAATATTAGCTGACCGTTGGGTAACTGAGAGGCGGGAAAGAGTAAAATGAAGGGTTACAGACAGACCACGTATTTCTATTTTATTTCCTTTGCCTCCTCTGAAATTATGACTGAAGCCATAAACCTTTACACCAATTAAATGGACCATTATAAATATATACATACACACACGCGCGCGCCATCAGAACGTTTCCTCTACGTAAAATGAAATATATTGAATATTTTTAAAAAATAATCCGGTTAATCTTCCCCTGTAAGTACTGCCTCTTACAAATTTGCACGGCTATTTCCTTAATGTAATTGACTTGATCTAATATGCAGAATTAAATATTAAAGAGGAAGAAAGCTGTTAATAATTGATACTGTTAATCCTGCTACCCATCCTTTAATGGCAATGGAGGGCTCTGCTCCATAACGGATTTTTATTCGGTTTGGTTTTGTTTTTCGGTCATATTTTGGATCGTTAAAATATAAGATATTTTAAACGCCAGTGTTGCTTCATCTATTCACTAGACACAAATCCCTAAACAGGAAAGTGAATGGGAAGAGGTTCTGGCGCAGCTTTTCTTTAAAATCCAGCAAATAAATTAACAGATCCCTGTGCCATACACAGGGTGGAGATTCATTATTACGAAATACTTTCAAAAATTGAAAGAGTCAGGGAAATTGGTGGAAGTACTTTCTGCAAAACAGCTCCGTCTTCCAGCCCTGGCAGGCTCTCAACATCAGCCCAAATTAAACTATTATTTAAAACAAAATATGCGTCGTAACCACATGCCATAGAAACCACACAGCATCCTCTTAGCGTGCGGGTCCCTGCACTGACTTATAACTTAATAACATTTTCTTGGACAAGATTTTTATATATTCAATTTCAGGGACATTGAGCACAGAACCTGGATATTTAATTCTCTCAAATCATTCACCTCACGGTTGCAGTTTGTTCTGGATCTCTGCCCAGTACAATAGAATAGGACTTTCTTTTTGTGTGTGTGTGAGTGTGTGTGTGCCTGTGTGTCTGCGTGCAAGTTAAATGATAGGAAAAAAAAAAAAAGTCACCATAACATCCTGCACAAGGAGGGGAGGAAATCGTGATGGACGAAAATATACTGTATTTTTAATCGTACGGTTGCAATGGCAATCTCTGTTGCTGTTCCACGTTGACTGGGGGGGGGGATAGAAGTTAATTCAAGGGGAAAAAGAATGACTGTGTCAGTGCGTCCTGCACAGACTCCGAGGAGTTCTACCCTCGGCGGGGGCTGCTCCGCTGCCAGTTTGGAAAACTTCGGCTTTCACTGCAAAATATTTACCGTGGGGGTGAAGCCAAGTTTCTCTCTTTGCCTCCTGCTCGGGCTTTGGCTCCGGTTTACCTTTCAGATGGAAACCAGGTACCAGCCGGATCGGCACGAGGTGAAGATACTGATTCTTTCTTACTTAAACGCCATTGCATTAGTCTTATTATTATCACCGTTATTATCATTATTATTAATAATAGTATTATTAATAGCATTACTGATAGCTTTATTAAATATTTTCAAGGCGAGTGATTTTTTTTTTCTATATTTCAGGGGAAAAAAAGGACGAGCCAGCTCGCGGAAAAGCACATGCAGAAGTTTAACTGTTTCCCCAATCTGGCTACATTACAAATAAAAGCTAATTAAGTTGGAAGCCCCCCCCCCCCCCTTTTTTTTTTTTTTTTTAAACTAGGAAGGAGCGTGGCTTTGAAATATTCATCCCTTGGACGGTTGCATTTCATAAACAAACACTTAAACAAACAAAGAAACAAACCCGAGGACTACTACTAAAAAACCCAAAAAGACACGACCCCCCCAAACCCGCGAGGAGCTGCGGAGGGGAGCGAGCCCGTCCCCGCTACACCGGAGCGGCGGGCACGGAAAAGCCCCCGCTGCTCTTTACTTCCCCCCCCCGTGAACTTTTCCTCCGTAATTTCTCCTCTTTCCCCCGTTCTCCTTCTTCTCCCCCACCGCCACCCTCGGCTCCCCTTTCCCCACCTTTGTTCCCCGACATTTCCCCGCTCCCCCCGTCCCTTCCCCACCGCACCCGCGCAGATTTACTCCCGCTTACTAAAGTGGTCTCTGCTGCCGGAGCCAGCGCTCTGGAGGAAAGAGGATGCCTCGCTCCAGCTTTTGTCCGCTCTGGACTCTGTTTAAGCTCAGAGACGACGCTCATTTTTATTTTTATTTTTATTTACCGGCAGAGACAATGCCACCCCTCTCCCCTCCCCACCTCTCCCCTTAGGTTGGCATCGGCAAGCTGAGACTTTTCTTTAAGCCCTGATTTTAAACTTTACGCAGCATTGTCCCCTTTTATTGCACCTCCTCCAGCTTTTATACTGTTTACTTCCTCACTTTTATAACTTACTTTGATCTGTCCTGTCTTTGTCTTCGCTTCCTTCACAAACTTTATTGTCCTCGAAGCTGGGCCTTTGATTGGAAACGATCCCTTCCCTTGCAGCAGAAGTTTCTAAATTGTACTCCTGTGTTCCCTGTTTATGGACATCCCCGGGACGGCCCAGCAGCGGCTCTGCCTTAACAGATCCCTGCCCGGGGAGGTTCTCTGCTCTGGGTACTGGATCCAGCCAGCTCCGGAGATACCTGCTATCAGATGGGACGCTTTGATGTTGAATATATGGATGGTAGACGGCAGGAAGGGTACCAGAAGAATGTGGATTCAAAGGAGTCCAGGAGGCGCTGAAAACTGGAGGTTTTGGCTGAAAACTACAGGAGGGGAATTCTAGATGCTCATTGTGCCCAGCTTGCCTGGAACTTGTATATTGCCCAGATGAAAATTTAGCTGAAGGCGAGTCTTCACTTTCATGACTTATAATAGAGTCGACATAATAATTGCTAAGAGTCCCAGAAATGGACATTCTCAGACATCATACAAAGCACGGTTCAATGAAGGGAAAAAAATATATAGGACAGATCTAGATTTGTACTCTACCCCCTTCTCCAACTTCCCAGCCAACAAAGTACAGTTGGGCTGCTGTGTTGTGAGCTCCCAGCAAAATGATTGGTCAAACTTTTTTCGTGTGCCTGATAAAGCGTCAGTCTCGGCGTAAATCAATCGAAGCCGAGGGGGCTGCGCTGCGCTGTCATCCGCCCTTGCATTCCATATCAAGGATGGATTGTTTTATGTTTATGCAATGTTGCAAAACGTCAGGAGTTTCGAAAAGCCACCGAACGGCCAGAGCTGGGGCTAATATCCCTTCCTAGATTTGCTCTTGAAATTTTTTTGGGGGGGTGGGGGGGGGTCCGGAAGGGGAGGGAGGTTGGGGTTTTTTTAATTTTTTTTTTTTTTTTAAAGAAAGATGCTGATGTGCTCGCTTTCCCTTTAATAACCATCATGGGGGAATAGAGATAAAAGCTATTCTTTGCCACTCGGGCTCCAGAGTACGATAGCAAAAAACCCAGAGAATAAGTACAAACCAAGGCGCGCCTGCCCCCCCCCCCCCCCGGGATTTCATATACATACACATGTGTGCGGGCATTACAGGCATATATACATAAACACAAACATATATGTGGTTTTGTAAAGAAAAAGATGGATCTAGGTAGCCAGAGTGGTGGGGAGGGTGTTATAAATAATTAACCAGCTGGGGTGGGAATATGGATTGTTAACATGGTGAAATAACGTGGGTAAATATGAAATTTAAAATGTCACTGGCACGGACGTGGCATTGCAACTTTGACCAGCAAGCTGCCGAGCCGCAACCCCTGTATACATCCAAAGCCTGCCTTCGACTTTATGCTTAGAGATATATATATATAAAAACATCTTTCAAATACCTCTGTATATGAACATATGTTCGCATGTTTCACGGCATAATCTCAGGGTCGCTTTGCTTGGGCTAAAATAGTTTCCCACATTGCTGAAATCAGAAGCCTTCATTTAACTTTACAAGGCTAGTAAAATACAGTGCGCCACTGATCCGGCTTTGTTACAGAATGCCTTAAACTTGTGATGGTTAAATAGTTTAATAAAACTTACATTAGCTTTCTTTGATTTTTATAGCCTTGAATTTATTGCCTGTGGAAAAGAAAGGGGGCAAAAAAGGAATCCCTCGTGTTTTCAGTCACCGTGCCCCCCCTCACACCTCACATGTATGTGCCCACGGTGTGTGTGCGTGTCAAACAACATCCACCCACCCCCCCACCCCCCCCGCTTGCATTTTCCCTGTGTTTTCGAAAAACGCGACGATTTGGTTTTTTTTCCTTCCACCGAAAGGAATGATTGACACGGGGTTAGAGCTCGGTGCGGCTCCCAGCCCAAATGATGGGGGGTAACGGGGTCAGTTTTACCAAGTTATGATGATAAATCCGTTTATTGCAAGATGCTCCGATGGCGTCGTAAATGTTGGTTAAGGAAAAGGTGCTCTCTATGATTACGGCAAAATTGTTTCTCTGGACTTCAGCTGTAACAGTATGGATCAATTCGCCTCCTTTAATCTATTACCCCTCCGCCCTTCTCCCTCTCACCCCACCACTGAAGGATATTTAAAGTGAAGGGCAAAGAGATTTCTAGGAATGATAAATCATCGCGAATCCTTCCTGAAGTGTATAGAGATGGAAGTCTGTATTAATAGCCTAATAATAACACTGAGGGGTGCTAATAGCCGCCTGAAATGAAGGAAAAATATATTTCGCATTTCTCTCTGTCTGTATGAGAGTCTGCGCGCCTGTGTGTCCATATGTCCAAGCCTACACAAAACGTATGTGGGAAATTGCTATCAGAGGTGTTTTATCGGTACTGGAAGACTGTGAAGGCGCTTAAAAACCTACACTCGAAGTCTTAGATTTTCCCTTATTCCTATAAGCGGTGCTTTTCCATGAGCATCTGCCCTGTAGCCTGATGGAGGGACACGTTTCCCCATGTCCAGGACCAAAGCTCCTCTAAATGAGGCGCTATTAGGAAGCTGTCCATTTTCATTAAAAATAAATAAATAAATAAATAAAAAAATCGAGAGGGTTGGGATGATGGGCAAGGAGAACCGGAGCTTAATGCCGGAGGTCAGATTTATTTTTAGTTTTTGCATCCATCAGGGTAGCAAGAGCCCCCCAAGCAGCTCAAAATCCTCCCTGTGCTGGAGAAGCAGATTCAGTCTGCAGGCTCCAGCCAAGGTGAGGTTTGAGGAGTGTTTGGGGAGCCCTCGCCAACCTCTGGGCTAAGACCTTGCCAAGCCAGCCGTGGGTAAATGTCCCCAGGTGAGTACTCCCCACTGACCTGCAAAGTCTCCTCTCCTTCCCGGGGGGGGTGGGTTAATCCAAAGTAACTCCACTTCACCCCTTTCGCGTTTAAACCGGTGAAAGCAGAGAAATCCCCTACCAGTGAGCAGCGTGGGGCAGGATCGCTGCTCTCTCCAGTGCATCTCACACGAACAGGGGTTGTGTGAAATGGGGGGGGGGAGGAAATTCCTGCTTTTTCCAACTTTTCACATTTCTATCTCCTTCTCCCCCCCCCCCCTTCTTTTAACTTCCTTAAGAGTTGGGGAGGTTTGGAAATGAAAAGACCCTGTGTCATCAGACGTGAAATACGAGCTGGTTGCTCACATTGTCATATTTCTCGGCTTTATTGCCTTTCAGAAATGATTTTTAAAAATCAGACTATTTCACAAGAGATTCGGAGGGACTCTGCAAATGTTATGAGAGCTTGGGAAAGGAAAAGGCTGATTTAAGTGTGTTGTGGAGATTAAACTCGCTTGGCACATGGAAATGTGTTTATACAACTGATGGATAAACAGCCGTGTTGGTAGCAGGGTGTTGAATAAGTATAGATGAAATTATTGAACGTTAATTGAAGCAAAACACCTGTTCTCTGTTTGCTAGATAGATTGGCCATGTCTTACCTGTAATAAATATATTCTTGGAAAAAATCCTGGTGCGCCTCCTATAAATAATGATGAACTATGTCAGCATGTGAGTATATAATTTTCTGTAGTATATAAATTTAAACCAAGAAGACTCCTAGGAGCGTGGCTGTGAGGCAGAAACCAAGGGGTTTCAGATCCCTAGTGACTGGAAACCTCACAAGAAGATCTGCAAAATCCATTTGCTTTTGCTCCTCTGGAGGTTTCCGTTTGTTCAGTAGTTTATTTTTTATACATATCCCCATAGCTCATCTCTTTGTAGCCTTTTCTGAGAGGGGCTTAAGGCAAACTACAGCTTCATCCCAGGTCTGCCCGCTTGGAAAGACCACATCGTGCGGTGCTGCCTGCTTCGGGTGACACTATATAGGCGTTTATATTTTCAAGCCCCAAATAGAAGCCATCAGAAATTGCATGAAAAGCTTTTCTGTTTGCAAAAAAATCTTGCAGAAGGAAAAGTCAAGGAGAAAGTGACCTCGGAGCAGAGTCTAAAAGTCTAGAAGGATGAATCTTTGGGAGAGAGGAGGCAGGATGTGCGAGATTTGCTCGGTTTGCAAACTGGATTAATTTTAGATATGTGATTGTTGTGAGTTGGTAAAGGGAAGTGGAACTGGAAATAGTTATTAAAAAAAAAAAAAGTCCGAAGTGGAAACTTTTTCCTGCTTTCAGAATCAGCGCCAAGTGTATTTGGCTGTGAGGAAAAATTCGGAGTATTGTCAGCTTGCAATGGAAAGCCAGAGGCTTCTGAATTCAGATGCTGTTTATAAATAATCTTTATTGTTTGTGAAGAGAAGGAATCATTTCCAAATAGTGCTTTGAAATGCACAACTGCCAAAATCCATCCTTAACAAACAGCTCTTTGGGTTGGCATTTCTAAGTTGAAAACAACCAAATACAAAATATTTTCAAAATATGCAGATTTTAAGCCTGTGCAGTTGCCACCTTTTACTGATTTATTAAGTTTTGGCATAAGAAAGAAAAAATGCAGATGATCCATTTCTTACCGGAAACATATTTAACCACTTTTTAAAGACTGTTGTTATCGTTTATTAGAACTGGTACCTTCTTCCAGCTGATTTTGCCTCTTTATCACTGATATGGAGAAGGTGGGGGAGACCTGGGGGTGCGGAGCTTTCCCCCCGTCCTGCTGCACGGACAGGGCAGGATGGGGGGGTTCCACCAGGATCTTTACACCAAGAGGCCGACATGGCATCGGGGTGTAACCTGCATTACTTGAGGCATATTTACTTCTTCAGTTTGGGTTTGGAAGCCGATAAGGATAAGCTAAGAGAGGATAAAAGCTGAGAGTGAACTTCATGGCTATGGAGAGTCTGGAGACCAGATTCTGAGATAACCCAGCCTTCAAAGAGCTGAGCGTTTATTTTAGGCGATATAAAACATTCCGAAATTGTACTAATAATAACAATAATAGGGATAATCACAACAACAACAAGCGAATAACTTTTTTTTTTGTCAGGAAACAGAAATAAAACCTCAGCATAAAGCAAACATAATTTATGAATGATACATTTAGGCAGGTCTAAGAGGTTATGAAAGAAACTTCAGTCACGGACGCCTCCAAACGCACGAAAGCGCAGCAAAAAAAAATCCCTCCTGAAGAGTAAAACCTTTTAAAAAAAAAAAAAAAAGTGAAATAAGTTTCTGTAGCCTAAAAGCCGAAGGATCTACCTTTGCCATTTCCTGTGCTAGCTCTCAGTTTGAATGCTGCCGTCTGTTAAAAATCCGTAAGTGCTGAGGAGGGAGGGAGCGGGGGGGGGGGGGAATTCCTTGTCTGAAGAGAAGCAAAAACAAGTTACACATGTGGGCAATTTTCCAAGGACCGAAAGTATACTCTGGCTAAAAACCCCAATTCCAAATGAGGTTTGTAATCTCAGCAGTTAATAAAGCATTTAGTTCCCCTGTAAAGTAAAAGCGTATGTGCATTTGAAAAGGGAAGCTGGAAGGAGAGAAAGTTAAAATAAAGTTTGATTGTTGTTCGGGAACCC